AATAGCTTATTTCTTATAGGTCTCCTTTGAAATAGTTCAGAATTTACACGGGTAACCTCTAAGAGTGGGAAACTAAGTTATAAATATATTCTGCAGCAATTACTAGAGGAGRTCCAAGTGCTAAACATGTGTGTAAATTCAATATTGCTCCCGAGTCAGCAGGGCTTTACGGAGCAGCTGGAGATGAACAATCAGCACAGGAGATGATTTCCTGAGGCCAGCAGGTTCTGCAAGCTTGGGAAAATGATTATTTTGACCAGTTTAACCCAATAGAGATAGAGAAACTTACGTCTCTGTATATTTTTTTTTAAATTTAAGGCCTGACCTGTGAGTTGACCAAGATCCAAATAACCACATAGGAATGAATATCCACAATGGCAGCTCATATTAGGGGATGCAAGGGATGTGTGGGGAATTTAAGTAAAGCTTAAAATTTACAGACCCTACAGTAAAGCACTACAAAAACCCAATCACCTCCTCCCTCCTCAGCCCCACAGAACTGTTTTGGCCACCTGACACTATTAATGCATCTTTCACCCTGTCCAGAAACACACACATACACACACCAGTTATATTGAAAAGCCTGAATTAAATCCAGGCCTCAGAGCTTGACTTTCTTGGTAAATGAGGAAGTCAATGACAACAGCAAATGCTAAAGCTTTGAGAGCCACTATTTCTGTCAGGAGAAGAGTCTAAAAGCCAGCAGAAAGTAGCTGGAGTTTTCCATGAGTCCCTGCAGGCACAGCAGTTCACGGCTGCACAGAATCTCCCAGCAGGAAAACAGCAGAGCAGCTTCTTGTAACTTCACGCTGGTGCCCAAGTGTGATCCAACTCAGAATCTGCTTTTTAAATGTGTTCAAAATGTAAGTTTTTCTTCCCTCTACACCAGTGATGTGCCAGGTAGTGAACACTCAACAACACCACCTTTTCCATRTGCTTTGGAGCCAAGAGTCTGAGTTCTCAGCCTGCACAATGAACCTCAGCTACACCACCTCTGCTCTCCTTCAAGAAAAGGTTAAACTGGAAGACAGACCCTGCCTACAGGCACTTCAGAACAATGGGCTGATTTTTCTGCCACCAATTATTGCTCTGGATAAGTATCAAGTATGTAGAATTATAATTTAACATACATCACTCCTAAACTTAAGGGGCTACTGACCTGTTGGAAGCTCTGGCCTCCCCTCCCAGGGAGCTGCCTGGTTATTTTGGGTCCTCTCACAACAGCATCGTGTAACATCAGCGCGTGGAAAAAGGGGAAAGCACTCATCACAAAATTCACTTCCTGGCTGCTCAGTTCTGCACAGCCACAGTGTCTGACAAAGTAACACTAGAATTAGGGTAACCACCGCAGCTGACAATTCTGAAGTCAAAAGACACCRCAGATCTGCTACAATTTTATTAAAGTAGGTTGGCAAGCAGTCTCACGTAGAGTGAAAAATCTGCAGCCAGAGAAAGGGAGCTCAGAGCAAACAGGACTCATGAAGTGCACTAACTGACATTTCAGCAAGATCCACGTTGAAGTACTGCAAACTCAGACAACGCTGACATTTAACAKCCCACAAGCACCACCAGGATTTGTTACTGTTACTCCAATGTATAACACTGCAACTCACGAGAGATGCCCAGCCCAGGGGGTTCTACAGAACCCACAATGTCTGGGTGATTTTTCTTCAGTCCCCATGTCACTCGCAGTGCACTCCGTGGAGGGGGTCCAAATGATAATAACTTTATTAGCTACTTTAGSACTTTGATACAGGTCTATCACAAAAAAAAAAACAAAACTCCACTTGTTCAGACAACAGCAGGTATGACTTTAATTGAACCAAAGCACCATTTCACACACCTCAGCCCCTGGAATAACACGCACACATTCAGCCTGACGCACCAGAGGCTGCCCCCACAAACTGCAGATGGCCAAGAAAGACCCACCTTTGCATCCTGCAGTGATAACTCTTGATCTAAGACTCAAAAATTGGACAGATTGAGGGCCCTGCAGTCCTCTCACTGCAATAAACACCTAAGGGGAGAACTGCTTGGACGAGCCAAAAAACCCTTAAAAAGAGCAAACGATGCTTTGGATAACTGCCACTWAAGGCCACTTACAGGTAAAATACACGCTGACTTCTGTGCTTACACCACATCCCAGAAGGAGCAGATAAGCTCATTACGGAGCTGCAGGAAGGGATAAAAGCGAAGACCGAGGCTGTTCGGTGCTGGAGCAGCTCCAGAGCCCCGCTGCCACCGCCAGAGTCCTCCCGGCGTCCCCGCAGCCCGGAGTGCCCCCCGGCCGCGGTCGGAGTGGCCGCAGGGCCCGAGGAACAGGTGGGCGCCCCGGAAGGTCCCGGCGAGCGGCGGCGGGGCCGGCCCAGAGCCCCCTGCAGGCCGCACCCGAGCCGCGGCCTGGCGTGGG